AACAAGAATTCTGCCACTGAACCATCACTGTCCCTAGTTCAGATACATCTTCTTGTTGTTGGTAAGTTCTGTCAAGTTGGTTTCAATTCACAGTGATCCTGTATAGGGTTTCTGAGGAGCAACTGGTGGATTTGAACTGCCGACTTTGCGGTTCAAATGGACACCGCAGTCAAGAGCTTATCCTACAGTGCCACACCAGGACTCCTCAGATACTACCTTCTCCAAAAAGTCTTTCCTGACATGCTGAACCACCCATGTGTGCTGCCCCTGAGATTTACCCCTTTGGTCCCATTATCGTCAGTCTGCTGAGTTTGACCAGCACCATTTCTGCATCTGGTTCCTCATAGTGCAGGGTCGGACACATGGCACATATCAGTCATGTTTGCTGAACCAAATTGTCCTGTGGCCGGGGCACTCTTGAAGGTTTGGTTTCCTTACTTTGAGAACTGGCTAAGTATTAGCAGAGGTGGCCAGAGGCTCAGGCTGAGCTGTAGGTACCACAGTTTTTTCCAGAATCACCCAACTTGACCTCCCTGACCACTGTTGTTAAGTCCCTTTGAGTCACTTCCGACTCATAGCTACCCTGTATGGGTTTTCCAAGAAGTTGTTAGTGGGTTTGAACCACAGACCTTGTAGTTAGCAGTCCAGTGCTTATCCTACAGCACCACACTGGGACTCCACAGGGCTGGGCAATCCCCACTGTCTTCTATTCTGGAGCTCTGTGAAGCCTGGAAGTGAAGAATCAGGTCTGCCACACTAGATTCTTGGGAATCAAGTCATGAATTAAGGAAATAAGCCAGAAATCTCAAGATAAAGAAAACCATTTCCAAACTGTTCCACATCATCAGGTTGCTGCTCAGTGGCTAAGTGGACCCTGGAGGGGTCTTTAGAGGGGTCTAGCATAAAAGAACTCCTGGTATGGCATGGTAGAATCAGCTCTGGACTTCGAACCACAAGGTTCGCAGTTCAAACCCACTAACTGCTCCTTGGAAACTCTATACAGGGTCACTATGAGTTGGAATTGACTCGATGGCAGTTAACAACAGAGTAAAAGAATCTTTCAGATGAAGCTCTCTCAGAACAGTCTGACTCTGAAAAAGTGAATGCTCAGGAGCCTTGCACCTCTTAGGCCAAACCATTGGCACAAGCAGAAGAGTTTAAAAGAAAATGTATCCTATTAGGTGCTGTGAGTGCAAATCAAAGAAAGGCCTAGTCTAGAGGCTCTTCATCTAGGCCTTCGTACAAGTATGCATATTTAAGTAGCTCAGTGTCTCTAGATTAGACCCTCTCGGGGCTCTGTTTCCTCATCTATAAAATGAGCAGGTCCCCATCTAAGATCTCATCCAGCCCTACTTCCCTTTGACTTAGTAAAGTCTGCTTGAAGGAAACCTGTGTTCTACTTCTACTGTGGACATTACATCACACTGTGACTTTGGGCAATTCATTTTTCACTGAGCCTCTGAGATACTGTTCAGTGATGGTTGTTTGCCTAAGTGTGAATCAAAGAGCTCCAGGTCTCCACTTGAATAGGTTCTCAAGGGATTCTTTTATCTAGGCCCTGAATGGGCTTCACCCAACCTAACCAGAGCGCTGGGGTCCAGCCAACCTATGCTGGGAAATCGCAAGCTTAAAAATTATCATATATTATTGTTGTTGTTGTTAAGTGTCATCGAGTCAATTCTGACTCATAGCGACCCTGTATAGGGTTTCCCAGGAGCAGCTGATAGTTTTGAACCGCCGACCTTGCAGTTCAAACCGACCTTGTGGTTCAGTGCTTCATCCCTCCCACCAGGATTTAAACATTAGTCAGTAATAATAATAGCATTCTCTGACCTCTCTATTACGCTTTATAGTTCACAGAGCTGCCCGGATTCAAATCCTAGCCCCACACCTTGGAGTTATGGGACTTTGGGTAAATTATTCTATCTTCCTGTGCCTTGGTTCCCTCGACTCTACACTAGGATGGTAATAATGGCGCTAGCCTTGTCATTTGTGAAGTGCACATGTAAGCACTTTGAACGGGACCTGACATACAGCAATTGCTCAATAGATTATTAGTTACTGCTGCTGTTACTATTAAGCACTTTCAGATTCTTGACCTCACTTGATTCTCACATTCCATTATTTCAGGCAAATCTGGGCAAGGTTATAAAGCTATGAACATTTGGAACATGCAATGGTTTTCTATCCAAACCCATTGGTTTCCTTACTTTGAGAATATAGTACTCAAATGTCCTAATAATAGTAATTTCACTCTAGGCAGAAACTGACTCTTGGTTTTAGGTCCCCCAAGGAGGGTAGTTTATATAAAGGGGTGATATGGCTCTCTTGGGAAGCAGTGTTCTCAAATAGTGGGGTGGGCTTAGGGTTTCATTAAATCAAAAAACATAAGCTGGTGAGAGACTTAAATGACCATCTAGTCTTGCATTTCACTGATGGAGAAACTCAGGACCAGAAAGGTGGAGTGACCAGCACCAGTCCAACAGCAGTAAGGCAGGGGAGCTGCAACTATGGCTCAGGGCTCCCTGTCTTCATACCGCTCTCATATCCGGTAGGGAATAGGGAGGGGAGTGAACACTGGTTCTCATTACTTTCTGAGAAAGGCTCAGAAAAAGTCTGTGGGGCTGGGATGATAAGGGGTGAAGGTGGATGGGGACCCTCAAGAACAAGCAAAGTTTCTGGGCCCAGCACCCTCCCATAGGGCCACAGGGCCACAGAAGCAGCAGTGGAACCACCCTGAATCTCTTCACTGCCCAGACTTGTCTCGGATGTTATCATTTTTAGAATGAATTATTAAGCTGAGGTGGGGTGGCAGCCTAAACTGGTAACCAAGAGATCTGGATTTTAATTTCACATTTAACTTAAAATCCCCACTGTCCCGTCTCCAGGAAGTCCCTTGAGGACACCTTCCCCGAGTTCCCACAGTACTTAGGGTGAATCTGAATCACACACCTTCCTGTGTGGCTAACTGGCCTCTACTAACGACGTGTCCCCTACCCCAATGGCACAATAAATGCTTTAGGTAGAAGGTACGAGTCTTAAGCTCTTCAATCTCCACACAGTGTCTGGTGTGTGGGAGAATCACAGAAAGGCTATACCAACAAGGACCCCAAAGAGTGCTCTTGTCCACTAAGACTCTCCTTTTGTCTGAAATGTTAAAAAAAAAAAAAAAAGGTAAGTCGGAAATGGCACTGCCCCAACAGCCAGCATAGGCTAGGATGGAATTCCAGATGCAACAACAAAAGAGAAAAATCAGGGCAAAAAAAGACAAAACCTCACCACAGAAGCAATGTCCTGAAAATGCCGTGTATGTACAGATCAGACAAGAAAGCCCTCAAATAAACTCTTGTTCCCCCATTAAGCCCTGGGATCCATGTGACCTTGGGTGAATTACATCATTTTTATTCCCTTCAGAGGACAGGGGATGCTTACTTTCCACAGTTCAGCTGTTGGTATAGAGTAGTTGTTTATTTGTTTTAAGTTTTTTCCCTTAAATTTTTTCCCTTGAATTTTATTCCATTTGTCATACTAAGTACATTTCAGAAAAGTTGGACCTACTAATTTCAGAAAAAACAAATAGTAAAGAATATTTTATATCAACTTTCTCAAAGTTAAGGAGACCCGGTGGTGTAATGTTAAGCACTTGGCTGTTAATTGAAAGGTTGGGCAGTTCAAATCCACCAGCTGCTCCATAGGAGAAAGATGTAACAGTCAGCTTTTGTTATAGCCTTGGAACTCTATGAAGAGTTCTACTCTGTCCTACAAAAGCACTGTGAGTTGGAATTTCCCTGATAGCAATGGGTATGGGTTGGGGATCTTAAAGGTGAACATCTGGAAATAAGGCACTAACTGCTATAAGGTTATCTAGTCACATTATATATATATATATATTGTTATGTGTGCAGTCTTTGAAATGGATGAAAACAAGAGATTATTGGCATTTGCATGCGATACTTTACACATATATGGACACACAGAGATTAGGGTTTACAGCCTCAGAAACCCTATACAGCGTTGTTATGAGATGGAACTGATTTGACAGCACACAGCCAACACCACAGAGATATCTATGTGTGTATGCAGATATAGATATAATTATTTTCAACTGCCAGATGGCAATAGCTTGGCATCTGGATAACCTTAAATAGCTGTAACAACATCTATTTTTATGTAATATACTGCTATTACCAGTTACAGGTATGTATCTCTAAGTTTTATGTAACCTACTTACAGTCATATTCTAAATTATGTGTGTACGTGTGTATGTGCATATAAACACACCTGGCATATTTATGGTTAGAAATCTATATGCTCAGTTGGATCTAAAGCATCTTAATTTCTGCTGGAATCCAGCATAACTTTCTAGCTTGTCATACTATCAACCAAGGAGCTTAGCAAGCATGCAGGATAAGAAAAAAATGTGATGCTTTAAAAAAAAGAAAAAAAACTTCCTTTAAGAAATTCTATAAGTTATATGTGATTCCTGAAATGAGATACTTTTCTGTTTCTTACTAGAAAATCAATCATTTCAACTTTTATCTTCTAAAGTCATATGGGGTCGGATGGTTCCTATAAATCCAAGGCAATTTTGCAGAGCCCCTGAGTCACAGCCTTCTCTGGTGACAGACCACTCAACTGACGGTAGGCTGGAGCAGACTCTGAGAAATGGTGTTTTGGGTCTTGCTACGAGTCCTGGTTTGCTGCTGTAGGATAAGCAATTGGCTTCAAGGTCAGTTTGAGCCACTAGGTCAGTGGTTCAAACTTACCAGCCACTCCTCGGAAACCCTATACAGGGTCGCTCTGAGTCAGACAGTTCTGACTCAATAGTACTTAATAACAACAACAACGTGTGTACTCAGCATTATCACCATCTCCATTCTAACCCATGTATTAACATGCTCCTTGTCTCCCAACTCCTGTTTGGAGCTGGGTCCCAGGAAAATGGGAAGGACACTGCTTAGATTGTGTGTTCCAGATTCAGGGAAGGGTCCAACACTCACCATACACTGTCACTGCCTTTGTCCAGGGGATTTCCCATGGGGTCATAGTACACATCCACACTGAGGTTTCGGTCTGTGTCATGAGCCGAGTTGAAGTTGGTGATCACTCGGGAGGGAATCCCAAGAGACCGCAACACTGCAACAAGACAAGGTCAGTCTGAGAATTTAACACTTTGCTGCCCTCTTACTCAATAAAGGAACTTCACACCCAAGGTACCTGTATTGAGGGTCCCAGCAAACACCCAGCACTGCCCAAAGCGCACGGGTTTGAAGTTAGATCTTTTCCATTCTTTGAGGATCTCCACACTGCCATTCCAGTTCCTTGGATCCAAGCCACCTGTATAGCTGCCACTCCAATTTCCAGCAAGGACACCATTGTCATCATTGCCATTAACCTAGACAGAAAGCCCCCAAATGCATCAGCCCACATCTTTCTCACAGAGAGTGACATGAGAGTTCAGAGGTCAATGTATTGAGTTTGTCTGTTTTTCTAGATAATTTGAGGATCATAATTGCAATAATATTATGGATGAACCAGGACTTTGGATGGCATAAATGGTTTGCACTGGTGGTTATGAGTTACACTGCTAACTGCAAGGTCATAAATTTGAATCTACCAGTCCCTCTGAGGGAGACAGATGAGGCTTTCTGCTCTTGTAAAGATTTACAGTCTTAGAAACCCAGTACAGGGTTGCTATGAGTTGGAACTGACCCAACGGCCCACAACCACCACCTAAAGGTTGGCAGTTTGAAAGTTTGATGATCTGCATTCATAAAGATTCTAGTTAAGAAAGTCCTGTGGAACAGTTCTACTTTGATCTACTCTGAGTCGCCATGAGTTGAAATTGACGTGATGACAATAGGTTTTGTTTTTATATGTAATGTACCAAGTGACTGCTGATTTAAAAGTGCTTTGACAAATGGTCCACGTTTGACTGCCTTCAGTCCCTCTGTCAATCCTGTGTAGCAGGTGCCTGTGGGAAACTGAGACTGCAGCTTGTCAGTGATGAGGTAGGACTGGAAATCCAGCTGGCAGAGGACTTCTTGTGAGAACTCATAGACTGTCACAGATATCTGACTTAATTGTCCAAGGTTTGGAAGTTTCTTTTGGAGCACTGGTCTGCTAAAACGATTACTTACACAACCAGCTTCTTGGAAAGAATAAAGATGGAGTATTGCTTTTCTTCATTTATACACTCATTCAACTTAGGGTATGGTTCTAGTGTAAGTAACACAACCATTGTTGTTGTTAAGTGCCATCGAGTTGGTTCCGACCCATAGCAACCCTGTATAGGGTTTCCAAGGAGCAGCTGGTGAGCTTGAACCGCTGACCTTGCAGTTCAAATGGCTTTGCAGTCTGATGCATTAACCCACTATGACACAGTGCAAAAGAGCACTAGATTAGGAGTCGAGAGACCTGAGTTCCATTACCTTTCAGAGATACATATTGAAATATTTACAAGGTGGAATGATGTACTGTCTGAAATTTATCAAATAATCTGCTAGAAGAGGCAGATAGAGCTGAAACAAGACTGACCCTGAATGGGTAATTGCTACATAGCAGGTGATTGGGACATAGGAGTTCATTATACCTTTCTCTCTAGTTCTGTGTATGTCTGAACACTTCCATATCAAAAGTTAAAAGGGAAACAGAAGGCGGAGCCTGCAATGCAAGTCTAATCTTGCCTCTTGTCAGCTAAGTGATCTTAGGCAAGTCAGTTCACCTCTCAGTACCTCTGTTCTTCATTCTCCAATTCAGGGAAGGTTAGAAAGAAAAGAATGCTAACCTTCTAAAGTGTCTTCTGTAAGTCAAGTGCTCAGCTAATGGAACTTTGAAATTTATGCTAACAGTACAATAGGCAAGATGGCCATCCCCACAGCCCCCAAGTCTGAGAAGCATGATTTTTTCTCCCTCTCTTTGGGGGAGGCAACTGGTTTGGTATTTCTATGTACTGAATGGTTTATGAATTTAAAAGTTCTTTGAGTAATGGGCCTTATTTGACTACCCTCCATGAGTATCAAGACTATGAGAAGAGGCTTGCCCCGGCCAGTCTAGCCTTCCTGGGATGACTTGCGCTGGGGTCACAGAACCGGGCAAGATGGGGCCTTCACTGAGAGGGCTGATAGTGCCGCCCCTTCCCCTCTCGTGAGTCACCGGTGCTGCAGCCACTGCGGTGGTAATCAGGAGGGTCATCTCTGGAGGAGCATTTCAAAGCCCTGCACAAGCCATAACTAGCTCAGGGCCCAGCCCAAGTGGGAGGTCTGGAGAGATGTGGGGAGGTGCAGCTGAGGAGACTGGCACCAAGATAAAGCAGTTTGTCCGGAGGGTGAGTGAGTCAGCAGCTGCAAGAGCCGGCAGCCTCACCCACTCTCAGAAGTCACCCCGCTTCACATCCCCCTGACTACTTTAACCCCTCCCAGGACACTGGGCTTTCAACCTATCTGGATTTTGAGGTTCATCTTAAGTCCTCCTTCCTCTACCTTCCGGGGTTGCACTAATGCTCACTCATGTCCTCTCTGCCTCCCACCTCCCTGGGACTATCCCACCCTTGTTATTGGTTGTTGGTTTCTGCCACTCATGGCGGACGGTCCACAATGGAATGAAACGATGCCTGCACCAAGCCCATGATTGGTTGTGGATCAGGCTATTGTGATCCACTGGATTTTTCATTGGCTGATTTTTACAGACGGACATCACCAAGCCTTTCTTGTAGTCTTCTTTAAACTGGAAGCTCTGTTGAAAGCATCAAAGCAATATACAAGCCTCCAAGGAGCTCTGGTAGCATAGTGGTTACGAATCAGGCTGCGAACCGCAAGGTCAGCAGTTGGAAACTACCAGCAGTTCCGCGGGAGAAAGATGAGGCTTTCTGCTCCCTTAAAGATTTACAGCCTCAGAAACCCTGAACAGGGTCACCACCACCACCACCACCACAACAACAGTGATAGGTGTAGTGGTTGCACAGGAAGTGCACTAGTAGGAATCCAGCCCAGGTCTCCCACATGGAAGATGGGAATTCTACCATTGACTCATGCCACCCCCACCCCATTCCTTTCCATCAGGGCCCAGTTTAAGACACATTCTGATTGTTGTTGTTGTTGTTGTCAAGGTATCAAATGACCTATTAAGCAAATCTATTGCACAAAATCTCTTTAAAGTGTTAAAGAGCAAAGATGTCAGTTTGAGGACTAAGGTGCACCTGACCCAAGCCATGGTATTTTTAATTACCTCATCTACATGTGAAAGTTGGACAGTGAATAAAGGAGACCAGAAAAGAACTGATACATTTGAGTTATGGTGTTAAAAAAGAATATTGAAAGTACCAGAGACTGCCAAAACAACAAATCCATCTGTGTTGGAAGAAGTACATCCAGAATGCTCCTTGGAAGCCAGGATGGCCAGACTTTGTCTCTCATACTTCAGACATATCAAGAAGGACCAGTCCCTGGAGAAGGATATCATGTTTGGTAAGTGGAGGCTCTGAGAAAAGTATGTAAGAGTAAGATCCTCCAACGAGATGGATTAGCACAGTGGCAGCTGCAATGGACTCAAACATAGCAACGATTGTGAGGTTGGTGCAGGACTGGGCAGTGTCTTGTTTTGCTGTGCTAGGTCACTGTGAGTTGGTACTGACTCAATGGCACCTAAAAACAACAACATCAAGTTGGTTCCGACTCACAGTGACCTTGTATAAGGTTTCTAAGAGAGGCTGGTGGACTTGAACTGCCCATCTTGTGGTCCGCAGTCTAATGCTTCTAAAGGTTGTCCGCATTTCTAACAATATAACTAATTCGCTAGCTTAGAATTGTTCTGACTCCAAAGTAAAGAGACCAAGAAATGCCTAGTTCATTAATTGGTTGCTTACCTTATTTTAATAGAAAAAAAAAATTTTTTTTGAGCATGCTTGAGTAATTCTTTAGTTTAAATGGGTTAAAGTTCAATATCTCTCCTACAGTTTACATTTTTAACTTGTAACTTTGTAACAGGTTGGCTTCTATTTGGAGACTTTCTGGTAGCCCTCTTGTCTCTGCACACTTGAATACAGAGCGATGGGCTGTTCTGGGGACTTTTTATGACAGCTCGAGGCCTGCCTCTGGTTTTCTGAGCTTTGGTTTCCCATCTAGATAAAGAGCAGCCTGGCCTGGTGCCCTCCCATCTTGACTTTCAGTTCTGTGGAGGAGATAGAGCAATACTGTGGATCTCTAGGGACTTGCCACATTTCCCAGGAGGCCCAGCAATGCAGTGGGTCTCAACTTTCTTTCCTCCTATCCCAGGGAGTACCAAAGACAAGTTCTCCTTATCATGTGAGAAAGGCTTCCCAATACAGTGGAAAGGGCACGGGCATTAGAAGCTGGCAAACCTGTGTCCTGTTCTCCTGCGGACACTTGTTCCCTATGCACATCAGGCATGCCTTTGAATTTAGAGCAGGTTCACGCTCCATGTTTGCATGGAGTGTCTGATAGCAGCTTCCAACTCTATTTTTTAAGGAATCCTTAGATGCTGCAAACAGTTAACGTGTGTGGCTACGAACTAAAAGGTTGGAGGTTCAAATCCACCTAGAGATGCCTTGGAAGAAAAGACCTGGAAATCAACTTCCAAAAAAAGTCAGCATTTGAAAACCGTATGTACACATGCAACTGTCAAATGGTGCAACCACTGTGGAAAACGATATGGCACTTTCTCAAATAGTAGGAAATAGAAGTTATGAACCAGCAACCTCTCTACTGGGTATATGTCCTCCAGAAACAAGAGCTGTGCCACAACTAGCTCTCTGCAAACCCGTGTTCATTGCAACACTATTCACAATAGCAAAAAGATGGCAGTAACAGAAATGACCATCAATAGAAGAAGGGTTAAAGAAACTTTGGTATATACACAGAGTGGACTATTACATAATGTTGAAGAATAACGAATCTTCAAAACACCCTGCAACATGGGTGAACCTGGAGGACATTATGCTGAGCAAATTTAGTCAATCTTAAAAGGACAAATATTGTATGAGATCACTGTTCTAAAAAAAGTTAAGAAAATATTTTCTTGCTAAATGAGCCATTCACAATGGTTACAGGGTGGGTGGAGGGTGGAGGAGGGAGAAAAATAAAGTGATTAGAGGTGAATACTGTTAACTGATGGAACATGGAGTGGATTGCAATCTTTGTAATGACATGAAGTGTATAATTTGTTGATTGTGGAACTGATTACTGGTTCTGTCAACCTTCACTCAATTTATAACAAAAAGTTACAAAACAAGCAAACAAAAGCCTATGGAGTATAGTTCTACTCTGCGTGAGTCAAAACGGATTCCATGGCAGCTGGTGGTAGTAGAGGTGGTATTTTGTGAGAAGGCTTCAATGAGATAAAGTGTGTAAAGAATACTTAACCCATAGTTGGTGTTGAGTGAACTTTCCTATTACTCACCATTGCACTCAGCACACGGCCAACATATTTGGGGTCATTTCTGCGGGCCACATCAGTAGCAGCGTCACGGCGGAAATTCAGACTTCTATCAAGGACTGTGAGGCAAATGTTCAAAATATCCTGCTCAAACTATTAAAAATGAGATCCAGTGTTAGAATGAGAGAAATGGCAAGTGGTCTAGGCTAATCGAGAGGCCCTGGTGAGAATCACAGGGACTCTCCTGGTTGGTTCTCCCACCGTTTGGTCTCCATAACTGACTACAGCAACCAAACAGCAGCCACCATGCCCAACCATCAGCCCCGTGTGCTCATCTGGAGCTTTGTGGATACACAAGGCTCTGTGCTGACCCCCTAAAGTGAACAGAAGGGAGTACTTTCCTCCCTACCACAGACTCTGAGCAAATCTGGGTCTCAGTTTCCCTATCTGTAAAATGAGGGCTTGGGTCACACTGATACCAAACTTTCCTTCTGGCTCTGACAATCTGTAACCTTGAGCACATTATTTAGACTCCTGGGGATGAGTTATAAAATAATCCTGCTTAAGAGGCATTTGAAACCATTTTCACAAAACAGAGCTTTTATTTTAAATCAGTGTTTCTCAAACTGAGGTCTAATCTCGGAAGGTTAATCTCCCTCTTGTCTTAGGTTCTTTGCATTTTCTGATTCTTCTATGGAATGCTTTTCCTTTAAGATATTTCTATGGGCTCCTTTTTTACCTCCTTTGGGTCTCTGCTTAAATGTCTTTTCGTAAGAGAGGTCTTCCCTGACCACTCTATCAAAACTAGGTCCCCTTTCATCCCTAGGTGTACTCTTAATCTACTTATTTTTTCTTCCTTCAAGTGACATTTGACACATATTGAAAAGGTAATAAAAGAGTTGGTCTGGCTGACCACAAGTTAAGGTCTGGAGAAGGGCAGTGCATGCACCTATCCATTCCTCCTGGCTACCCAGGGCTCTTCGTCTGAATGCCTGCCTTTGTCTGCTGGGGAACAGAAGCAGTATAAGGAATCCCTGAATGTTTTCTGAACTGAGCAAGCCAGGGAAACTCAGATGAAGTCTGGGGTAATAAAGACCAAGAGGCAAAGGCTTTGAAAGCTCTTTTGCACATAACCAGAAAGTTTCACCACACTTTTATGTAGGATGAAAATAGAAACGAAATCTACTTTCATTCTGTTCTGAGTGCCTCTACTGGGCCTTGTGTTTATTTGTGTACCATGGTGCCAATTATACTATACTGTACTGGTTCAGTTGTAAGTCTGTCTTGCCCACGACATGGTCAGCTCCTTAAAGACAGCAATTTTGTTTTATTCTTCTCTTTATTATCATTAGTATGCAGCCTGGGCCCTGGCACATAATAGGTGGTCAATAAATGTCTTCTGAAGGAACAAATGAATAGAAGGACAGACAGAGAAGCAGGTGAGGAACTTTCTGCCTGTCTATGGGGCCAACTGCAAAGCTCCTTGAGTAACAGAGACATGTATCCCAGCTTCTTTTAACCCCCTTTTACCTGTCCAAAGTTCCAGCCAACCATGCCAATGCGATTTGTGCTTCCCACATAGATGATACCAGCATCTTGCTGAACGTATTCCTCTCTCTCAGCAGCGTTACTCATAAAGACACCATCGGCTGTTTGACACACAAATCAGGTAAGAGGGGCTAGAGTCCTTCACAGCCCTAGCTACATCAGTCCTTCTCCCATTCCTGCCAGTCCTGTGGTCTGAGCTGGGGTTGGAGAAAGCCCCACTTGCAGCCCTTCCCTCAACCTCCATCTTGGATTGTAACACTGGGCTGGACTATTGCGACCCAGCTGTGGGAGTGCAGAGCTGGAAAGAGAAGCTGGGATGACCTGAGTATCTGAAAATGAGATCTCAGGGCTGAAAAGCTTGTTCATTACAGATGTTCCTTCAGGCAGGAAGCAATCGACATGCACAGAATTGTACTGAGGTGGTTGACTTTCATACCATACCATGCTATGCCTTTAGTTTGGAGTCCTATTGTGGTGCTATAGGATAAGCACTGGACTGCTAAGTACAAGGTTCATGGTTCAAATCCACCAATCATTCATCAGAAACCCTATACAGGGTAACTGTGAGCCAGAACTGACTCAACAGCACAGAACAACAACATGCCTTTTATTAGAGCTCATAAGATCTTCACAACAGCCCGACAGGAGACAACAGAAAATTCACTGAATGGTGAGAAGTCTGAGGCTTCTCTTGGTAGACAGTGACCAAGCTGGTTGGCAGCAGATCTGGGACTCTAATTCATGTCTTTTGATTCTAGCTTCTGTACTCTTTACACAACCCACAAATTTTCCCTAATCAGCCCTGAAACAGGGCAAGTCACCCCTCCACATACACACTTCCTTTTCATGAGATCTGCTTAGTTGGTGGCTGAGAGTGTGGTTGGTTATATGCCTACCTTGCAGCCAAGGGTTAAAAAGGAGTACGAATGTCCCAAGATTCATAGAGAAGGTGGAGCTCTGAACGTTCATTGTGTAGCGTCCTATGGGTGCATTGGCAGGACTGGACATTGTGATGGTCAGAGTGTTGTTTTGGTTGCCCTGGAGCGCTGCACTCCAACTGTTGCTTATTCCATTGGAGAGTGGAAACACGGCCCTCGTCCTGGCAGACTCTGAGGGGTAAGGTCCTGTCAAAGGAGATGGAGAACCATGGAAACTAGAGAGTAGTGGCCAGATTGTGGAGACAGATCAGGATCCAATACAACCTGTAGGAAATGTCATCCAATGAGCACCACATAAATCACAGTAATCAGCTTAAAGGACCATTGCATCCCTCATGATTTCAAGATAATGACTCTTCAGCAACTTTCCCAAAGTCACACTGAGCCAAAAAGGCAGAGCTGAGCTGGAGCCCAAGACTCAATGACCTGTGTGTTACTACCACCAGCTGTATACACATCCCAAGAGCTACCCAGGTATCAGGTGGGTGTGCAGGTACCTGTGGAGACTTCAAACGCCAGATTTTGTTCAGAACCCACATTTCCATTGAAGGTCAATGAGATATTGAAGGGTTGGCCTCTCCTCAAGATCAGTTCTGGGGTGTAGAACTTGTCTGTGTGATGCATCTGCCGGTTGGAGGACACGTTCCAGTTCATAGATGTTGGTTCTAAAGTTAAGAAACAGAAAGGAAGATCTAAAGTCTTGGGGGTTAAGAAATTGTGGCATGGGAAAAGGACATGGACTGCTAAAGGAACATCTTTGGAGGAAGAAGTATTCAGGTAAGAGTTAAACATGTAATGTGGAGCGATGGAGCAGCTGGAGACTTTAGATCCAGAGAGGGAGAGCGACTGTGTGCTGAAGACCTGGAGGGTACAGGGGAAGGATTGCATGGAGGGGATTTTAACCATGGCAATGAGACAATATATGATAGAATGAATGTAAAATTAATGTTCTCCCATGTAAACTATCACATAATTCACAATAAAACATTTAAGAAAAAAAAAAAAAAAAGAGTTAAACATGTGGTAGGAATTACATGAAAAACCTTATTGTCACATAGGAAGAACTTCGCAACCTGTTTCCATTAGATCTTTCCAGGCTTAAATCTACTAATTCTCATAACCTAAGTGTACAGAACATGCCTTGTGCTTTTAAGCAGTTGTACTGCTGCACACTCTTCCCTTTCCTCCTACCACCTGATGAACTATCACTCAGCCTTCCTGAAACTGCCCCAATGCTCAGTGAGGTGTCCTTCTCATCTGTGCAATCAGAGAAACCCTGGGTAGTGTGAATGGCTAACACACTCCTTAACACACTATGACGCTGGAAGCTATACCATTAGTGTTTCAAATCCATAGTGGATGGGTTTCCATGAAACTTTTAGGCTAAGATAGATGAATAAGCAAGACCAGATGATATACTTCTGAAAACTTTATGGATTACAACAGAACACTGTCCAACTTGCTCACTTTGCACACATCATAAGGAGGGACCAGTTGCTAGAGGAGGACATCATTTTTGGTGAAGTAGAGAGTCAATGAAGATGAGGGGGATTGTCACTGACAGGGATGGCCACAATGAGGAACTCATTGTGAGCATGAGGATGTGTCCAGTGAGCATGAGGATGAAACAGGGCTGGGCAATGGATTGTTCTGTTGTATAAAAGGTTTCCATGAGTTTCCTCCCTTTCTTCCTTCCTTCTTCTTATATGAAGCACATGGTTGTGGAGGTGATGGAGCTAAACTGAGCAGGGATTATAAGAAATATATGACTATGAAGAGTTTAGCCTATAGAAATCTTTTGAGGAATTTCACTCCTTCAAATTATGTTTTGAGGAGTGGAATTACATCACCCACTCCTCTGCAAACCAAATTGATCTGTCTTTATAATGAGTCTCCAACTACTGATGGGAGTGAGGTGGAATATTCTAATGCTGTTCACAACTCTTATTTATATTGTTGTTGTTGTATGTGCCATCAAATTGTGTCTGACTCCAAACAGCCATGCTGTATCAGGTTTCCTAGGCTGTATATCTTTGTGGAAGCAGAAAGCCTGCAGAGTGGCTGGTGGGCTAGAACTGCTGACTTTGTGGTTTATAGTCCAGTGCTTATCCTACAGTACCACCACACTCTCCTTTCTTTATATGTTGTTGTTGTTGTGATGTGCCGTCAAGTCAGTTCCAACCCATAGTGACTTTGTATAGGGTTTCTGAGGAATGACTGGTGAGCTTGAACCACCCACCTTGTGGTTCAAACTGACTTTGCAGTCCAGTGCATTAAACCACAGCACCACACCAGGATTTCTTTCTTTATATATGTCTGTATAAAGAACATGCCTATAACATAGTCCACAGAGACAGTGTTCTATATCCTACTTTGGTGAGTAGCAACTGGGATCTTCTGAGCTGATGAATGGACAGCTTAGGTATAGCTATTGGTCTCTTTCTGTCGGGAGGAAAGAGACATGATGAAACTTTAAGACACTTGGACATAATTACTCCAAGGGACTAATGGACCACATGAATATCAGTCTTCAAGACCCTGAGATTAGAAGAGCTAGATGGTGCCCAGAAACCACCACCAACTGCTCTGAAAAGGACCACATTAGAAGGTCCTGGATACAGTAGAAGAAAAGGTGGAATCAAACTCAAAATTTATATAAAAAAAGACCAGGCTTACTGGTAAGATAGAGGCTGGTGGAACCGCAAGTCTATGACCCTTGGTTACCCTTCAGGTCTGGAACTGGTTCAATTGTTCAGCCAAGCCATAAACAGGTATATAGGGGGCAACAACACTAGTGAAATATGTACAGCATAGAATGGTCAACCATTTGAGATCAAAAGGGCAGCATTTATCCAGGACAAAGGTCAGAAAAGAAGGTGTTGGAAAAGAAGGAGGAATGGAAATAAGAAACACGGAAGTGGGATAAGTGATGTTCCATGGAGGGGACTGCAATCACTGAGATGAAACAAAATGTAGGATTTTGTTGAATGTAAAACTGGTAGTCTGCTCTGTAAACCATCATTCACTCAATTCACAATTAAAAGTTTATTGTTGTTGTTTTAAGAAAGAAAGAACATCTGTTATCAGAATGTACCTTCCTGATCTTTGTAATCTGAACTGGTATTAGGAGAGAAGGAGGAGGAGGAGGAGGAGGAGGAGAAGAGGAAGAAGAAGACAAAAAACAAATGTCATACAATAGCTCTCATGACTATAGTTCAAAATTTAGTTCATACCCTAGGACCATCAAGGGAGAAGAGCACGAGTGGAATGTGAGACCCTATCCAGGGAAGCAGCAACACCAGAGATGGAGGCAGAGATGAGGACATGGAGAGATAGAGCAGCTGAGGGCTCTAGACTCATAAAAAGAGAAAGACTGAGTGCTGGTGGCCAGGAGGCAGGCTTGCGGAATGTGCCCTTCGGTTGTTTAAATGATTATATATTCCTGGGTGTTTTTGTCTACATCTTGAAAAAAAAAAGCAGGGAATAGAAGCAAATACAACCACAGAGAGGATTGTAATCATTGCAATGCAATGAAATAAGATGGGATGAGTGTAAAACTGATGTTCTTCCATGTAAACTATCACTCAATTCACAATAAAAGCTTATTTATTTTTTTTAGTTTATAAAATGTAAGTTGACTCTTAGGCATTCATTCAATAAACATACAGAGAGTACCCAGAAAAGAAACAACAAATCAATCTTAGAACCAGAATGTTCCTTAGAAGTGAGGATGGTGAGCCTTCAGACACATCATTAGGAAAGACCAACTGCCGGAAAAGAATTTCATGCTTGGTAATAAAGAGGATCAATAATAATGAAGGAAATCCTCAATGGGATGGATTGACTCAACATAATGAACTCAAACATACTAACAATGGTCATGAAGATGGTGCAATCTTTTGTTCTGTTGTACATAAGCTCACCAGGAGTCAGAGGCAGTTCCATGGCAACTGACAACAAACTATTTGTAGGACACTGTGTTAATCACAAAGTTGGGGTATAAAAATCTATGAAACTAACAGTCAAAGAGCTTCAGCAGTGGAGAAGACAAGTAGAAGTGATCATGAATGCTCTATCTGGGTAAAGCCAGTTTTCCTAGGGAAAGTTGCAAGAGAGATCCACCAGGAAGGAATCACATTCAGTAGCATAGCTAAGAAAAAGCTTCACTGAAAATGCCGACCTGTGTTGGCAGAAGAGAAAATTTTGACAGAGACAAACGGGCAGACTGCATTCTAGACAACGGGAAGAGAGGCCTCAAGGACAGGAAGAACAGAAATCTTACCTGGCTAGAGTATCAGCTCTGCACAGGAGATAGAAAAGAGTTGAGAGGGAGAGTGTGGCATCCAAGGCAAGACTGGGGCAGGAGGCTTTCCTAGAAGCAGAAAACTAGGCAGAGGCTCATCAGAGGTACTCCTCCAGGTAAATTGCAGAATTTCTGAGCTGGGGAGCCAAACACTGCTACTGGAAAGAGGAGCTCAGGGGGTGATCTTGCCACTGTTTCCAGAATACTTAAACATTCATTCATTCACATATCCATTCATTTAATGAGTACCTGTTGAATGAAAGGAAGTGCAAAGGGAGGAAAGAAGAGACAGTGGGAGAGGGAAAGGAAGATGAACACTCTCCTATAAACTCACAAATATTGAATGGAGACAACCCAGATCTTAGACATTCTGGCAAACATTGGGCTCTACAGCTGCCTGTATATGAGTGCTGCATTGTTCCAATTGTTCCCAACTCTTTCAACTCCTGCCTCCTACCAACCTCGCTCAGTACCTTCTGTGCATCCCAGTCAATTAGCTTGGAGTAGAGAAGCCAACTAGCTTGGTCAAGGTCACACTACTCCTGAGTGGAGGAATCTGGATGTGTAACATGAAACTCTGTCTCCCGAGCCCAAGGGAGCCTGGCTCCCTACTAGGATGGACATGAGGTATACAAGGTTTTTCTGAACTGGAGGAGTGAGGAAGAGAGGCTCTCACATTTTCCCTAGACAACTGTATGTCAACTACTTTTAAGAGAACACAGTGATATGTAGACATTGGTGGTTGCTGTGGAGTCGATTCTGACTCATGCTGGTCCTGTGTATGCAGAGTAGAACTGCTTCATATGGTTTTCATGGCTGTGACTTTTAAGAAGCAGATCTCCAAGCCTGCCTTCTGAGGGACCTCTGGGTAGGTTTGAGCATTCAACCTTTCGGCTAGTAGTCGAGTGCTTATCTGTTTACTCCACCCAGGGGATCCTGGATAAGGAAAAGAAATAGTGACAGAGACATAAGTCATCAGTGAAATCCATACAAAACCGGACACAGGCTCAGAGAGACAACGTGCCTTATCTGAGGTCTTACTGACTCCAAATCTTCTACCCTATCCTGTCACCATGGTCCTTGGTTCTCCAGGAAGGATATCCTGGTGCCCCGGGAAAATGTGATTCAGAAGGGCAGTCTGCAGGGCAGTGAATGGAAGGGGAGCAGCCAGTGACAGCCACAGCTACAGGCATGCAGATGAAGCTTTGGGTGTGGTTCCTAACACTTTCTTCCCTGCCTCCTTCATTCATCATCCCACACCTGAATCCCTCTGACACCCAAAGATCAAGGATTCAATGCTCCTGTCTGTGGATTACCCAGAGCCCTTTGCCCACGCTCACCCTTAACAGAA